GAGTGTGCTTGGGAGAATCCTTTATGAAGAACTTTTTAGTGAACTCAGACTCTGAAACTAGCATAGGCACAACAGAATGCTGGCTGGCTGCTCCACTACTCCCTCCTGCTCATTGTGATGACTTCAGAGCAGGCTTGTGGGGAAGACAGATCCAGGCATCTCTTGCATCTTTCCATAGGCATCTTATAGAATCTTTGTTCCATGGAGAGCAGATCAAAGAGAAGTCTAATAAGGGAAAAAGAAACTGGAACTTGGAAGATGGCTGAAAAGTCTGATTAAACAAGGCCCTTAGGGAAGTTGTTGTCCTTGATTGGCCTTGTGAAGACTCCCAATATGATGATCAGCACAGAACCACTGGTCTATGCTGACTTTATCTACCCTTTCTGTGACCTTGCCCCTAGAACACCTTTTACACCACTGTAGACACTGCAAAAGGTCTAGACAGCGACTGGCATTTAGTGTATCTTGTGCATTGTTTTTTGTGTCTATGGTGTCCAGCACCATCCTTGCTCACATTAGAACACAGTAATTGTCATTGATAAATCCAGGGCAGATATTTCTTATTTATGTTTGCGGATCCTTTGTCTAACATCAACAATTTGATTTGAAACTTTATGGCAAAATTCATGGCCTGTGTGAGGCCCAGTGACTTATTGAGTGATTTAGAATTACGGGTAGACAAGATGACCTTATGCACATGTCTAACGTCTTTTCAGTGTGAAGATTTTTCACGGTCAGGCACACCTCTTTTTGCTTGGGTCTGGAACCATCTCTTCCTGTTCCTTATTGTCAATCATGCTGGGTAATCATATATCTCTGTCAATCACAGTGTCATGATTTGTGTTAAGTGACCTAGACAGATAGTCCTGCCTCTGCAGCTCCCTAATGCCATGAATTCCGTTGTGGCTGCCCTGCCAATCAGGAGGCTGCCTCATGCAGCATGTGTTGGTGTATGCTGCCTCCTTCGACTCTCTCAAAGGTGCTACTGTGCTTCCTTAGTAATTCTACAATAGGGGTAGAAGAGGAGGTGATCTGTTTCCTGGCCATCTGAAAGAGTCACAGCTGACACCCTTATAACAAACAGAAGTTAAGAAACAGCATAACAAATTCATCTGATCATAGTGTTACATGGTACCACAACATGGGAGCTTTCATATCGAAGGCTCAAAGACCCAGGGTGAGTCATCCATATTTTTGTTTTTTGGTGGTACTGAGGATTAAACCCAGGGACCCTGCACTAAGTTGCATCCCCAGTCGAGTCCTTATTATTTTTTATTATGTATGTCTTGTTAAGTCACTCAGTTGCCCCAGCTGGGCTCAAACTTGTTGTCCTTATGCCTCAGCCTTCCAGAGTTCTAGGATTAAACTATGTTTATGGTTAGGTTCAGTAAAGCATGAACAACTGTAGAGAAATATGATTGGACCCTAAAAGGTATGATCTGATAGTACGGACATATGGGAGTAAACCCAGCGAGCCTTCCTTCTTCCTGATTATGGGGCAGGATCCCTTCTCGAATGGAGGTCTTATGACCTATAATCTAACAAGGTGGGTCAGAAATTCCTTTATGGCCAGCTCTTATACAGAAATGGGGGGAAATAGATAATATTTTTAGGTTTTTATGGCTGGATTTGGTGAGAAGGGGTTCTGGTTTCTGTGACCTGCCTCGGGGAGAAATCCTAGTTTTGATGGCTTGCCTCAGGCAGCATGAAGGATGGGAGACTGGAGGGCAGGAGAAGGTCAGAAAGAAATTTTGTTTCCAAGTCTTTCCTGAGGCCTTTACTTTATGATACAGTTTTTGGAGTCCTAATAACACAAATGCAAGTTTTACCCAGAGCACGCAGGAAAATGTGGGGACAAATTCATCCACGGGTCCTGCAATGCCCTTTCTGAGTTTTGTGGAGGAAAAGTAGGAAAACACATCTTTCAACCATGCCTTCTCTTGGCTCTTTAGACTCCTGCATTCCCGGGGTGCTCTCTGTTCATATGGACTCCAGCAGAGAGCACAGGCCCAGGGGTGGGTGGGTGTTTCGGTCGGAGAGGTCGCCTCAGCAAGGGATGTCCATCCCTCTCCACCCATCAGAATCAAGGGTGGACCTGGGCTGAAGGTTTTCATGGCAACTTGGAGTGACGGCTCCAGGCCCTCAGGGGACTGTCTGATGGGAGGCGCCAGATCTGCAGAGCGGGTAAGAGTGCCATCCATGTTTGGGGGTTCACAGGGTAAAGGACAGTTGTCTCTCCTCTATCCTTGGGTTCTGCAGACTGGGGTCGGAACCCAGAGGAGGACCACAGGCGCTGCTGAAGGCCAGGGTCGGGCTTTGATCATCACTAGCACAGAGCACTGAACACATCCTGTGTCTGATGGGAGTGAGTCACCCCAAGCTGGTATGCAGCACCCCAATATGACCACAAGTATGAGTGCAGCAATGATGGGGGACACAGGAGTCGGGGCTGCCAGCCATGGGTCTGAGTCATGCCTTCTGGTCCTGCCAGGGTTGGATTTTGCATGTACATTCTCCATCCTGGAATGAGTCTCGTTCCATCACCAACACCTCCAACCTCAGGGCTCCACCAGAACCCACCGCTCCAGCGGCAGGCAGATCTGTTTGCGTTTCTGTTAGGGTCAGGCTTCACTCATGGCTGGCACCCTTCTGTGTAACGGGTGTGTGGGCCGGAGCAGTATTCCTCAGTGTGGAATCGGGGTCAAAGGGGTACCCTAAGGACTGGCTTCCTGCTTTGTAGGAAGGCATGTGAGACTTTGGCAGGAATACTCAGAAATGTCCTTGCTGTTGGACCCTTGGGAACTTTATTAAAATGTGGGTCTCTTAATCTTCATAGGGTTTATTTCCCACCTTCACTAGTGCACCCATTTTTATCAAAGTCTCCAGGTAAATAGCCACCTATCATTTGTTCTGTCCCGTCACCAAGATGTCATGATGTTCTGTGGGAAGTTCTGGCAGTCTGCCTATCTTCAGGCTATTTTATGACAGAAAGCACTAGAGTTCACATCGCCCCAAGGTGAAGCTCTAACTGAACTTTGTTTTCCATCCCACATGAAAGCAAACAGCTTCCGGCTGACTTTCTTGGTCAGAATGGAAAAGACAGTATCTCCAAAGTCCATGGCTGCATCCCATGTGCCCAAGGCCTTAGAAAGCTGATTGGGCACAGATATCAAGCATGCCACCTGCAATCAAGGGATATAGTCATTCTAGTCACTCTCCTTATTAGTATCTAGTGTCTTCGGGGGCTGGACTAGTGGGCATGTGATCAGTGTTCCCGCCTTGTACCCGAGGTCTTTCATGGTGGTACAAATATCTGCCATCCTCCTCGCACTGAAATATTGCTATTTATTCTACTTTGATGGATGAGGAAGTGTTTTTGGAAGTTTCTATTTGGTATTTTCCACAGGCCAGGGACCCAGTGTTGAAGCTGATCAGCTACCAGGATGGCAATTCCTGCTGTGTGCTCAGGACCACTGGACCCATCAGGAACACGGTAGTTGGACATGAGCCAACACTACGCTTAGTGCCTGGCCCTGGGGATCCCTGCCCTAACAGGGAGCAACAATGTCACGAAGGGTATCCATGTGTCAGTGTCAGCTCAGACTCTGTCCAATAATCTTTGACCTGCCTGGGTCTTTCCTTTCTCTCAGCAATTAGTCATCAAACTTCCAAAGGTCTTTGGGTCAGGACTATTGTTGAAGGTTGAATTTCGTCACTCACAAGATGATCTGCTGAGGTCCCAACACCTTGTACCTGAGAATGGGGATTTATGTGGAAATAGAGCCTGCAGATTTAATCAAATTAAGATGAGCTCCTCCGGGTGGCTCTCACTCCAAGAGGATTGGACTCCTTATAAAGTGGTGAAATGTGGACCGACATTTCCTGTGCCTTCATGGGTGTGGGAGACCGCCCTGTTGGTTATACCCAAAGCAGGCTGTAAGCAGTGTAGGCTGTAAGGAGTTATCGAGGACCCCTGCTGGAGTTCCCCATATGTGGGTGCTCCAGTGAGGGTGGCATGTGTGCCACACCCTACTCCAGGCCAAAGCATAAAGTCACAGTAGCATTTTCTGCCCTGAAACATGCTCAGTCCAGTACAGAAAGTCGTTTCTGAAATGAGATCTTATGATCAAGCGGAACCCACGTACCAGCACCACCTTTGGTTTACAGAAAATTCTTTGTCGGGATTTTCAGGGCTTGCTAACTGGCAGCTATGTTTATTAAGTATATCCCATAACTTCCAGGTATTCTGTCAGGACACAATTATCCAAACAGTGCATAGCAAAACTTAGGCTCATTGAGAAGACATGCATTTCCTTGGGCACTTTGCCAGCTTTTGATTTAGGGAAGTAAAAGGGTGGGGTCTCTGGTAACCATGGTGAAGAGAAGAGGGAGTGGAGCATGTGTGTAGACAGAGGGAGTGCTAGGGGTGGGTGTGATGGAACTGTTGCTGTGTGGGGCAAAGGGAAAGGAGCGTGTGTCTCTGAGTCCTCACAGGGCCACGGGTGAGTCTCAGCCGAGTGAAGGTCAGCAAACACTCTCAGGGCTCTCAACCTCACACTTCGGATTTTAGGAGGAGAGTGAAGAGGAAGGGAAAGCAAAAGATTTCTGTCTGCTTCTTTCTCTTTTACTCTCCCCATTTATCAGATTTGTCTTGGTTGGCTCTGTGGAGAATGGACTTAGATTCTTCTCAGAGGATCTGCTGAGACATTTGTTTGCACAAACATGTAACAACACACAGGAACATCTATGCACACAGATACACACATATGCACACACCAGTGTTTTTGGTAGTGTTGGCAAGAGTCTGGATAGAGGTGTTTCCATGGGCGGTGGTAATCCACGGAAGGACCATTCAGAGGTGTTTGCCTGGCCACCCACCCGAGGAGCAGGAGTCCAGGAAGGAGGCGACACTGCCCCCGGGCCAGGAGGGCGGGGTCTGGGAGGGGCGGAGCCAGGGAGGGCGGCAGGAAGGTCAGGAGCAGGAAGTGATTGCCTGGGTGAGGACCAACTCCGAGACACAGAGCTGAAAGTGCCCTCCAGTGCCTGGGAGGAAATGAGGAAATGTCCAGTCTCACACTCACTGCCAGTGTGAGAGTGAGATCAGGAGAAAGATTGGACTGAAGATGTCTCTTACCGGTGAAGGTTAGGACGGTAAGAGGAGATAAGACCCTTATGAGGTCATGATTAAACGAAAAAATGAGGACATTGTCTTTTGTAGGCTGCATCTGTATATGGATCATATAAATATATGAACCTATACCTGTGTAGCATATGTGTCTATCATAGATCATTGTGGATTGAATGGTATCTCCTGAAGCCCTCACTTTCCCCTGCTTCACAGTATAACTGCATCTGCAGTTAGTCTTTAAAGAGATGGTTAAGGTCAACTGAGATCTTTAGGGTGGCCCCGAATGCAAGTCTGACTGGTGTCCCTAAAGGAAGAGAGGATCAGGACACAGACACCCACAGAGGGAACCCAGGGGAGGGTGTGGGGAGGAGGACCCCCGGGAGGTGTCCGAGAGGCAAGGCCTGCTGCTGCTGCCATCTTGGACTTCAGCCTCCAGATCTATGGGGACAGAACCCATTGTTTAAACCACCCTGGCTGTGCTGCTTCATTGTGGCAGTGCTAGGAAACTGATGCCTGTATCCCTGCCTGTACAGAGCTATATGTACAGTGGACCTTTGTCGTATGAACTCAGTTTGTTCCTGAGCGCTGGTTGTGACTCAAGTTGGTCAACTGAAGGCTCAGGCTCCTCTACACAGCCTTCAGAGTCTCTCTCCTGTACACAGGCAGATCTCAGGGTCCTTAGAGAGACATTGGCCCAGGATTTCTCAGTTAACCCTACACGGGAAAGGATGCTGTCATGTTCCTTCCAGAGCCCTTTAAGGGTTAAATCTGTATCTGAGACCATCTGGAAGCACAAGCAGCCATTAGTCAGGTTGTAACTCAAGACTTTGGTAGTAAGTTAAAATTCTAGTCATAACCCAAATTGTTCCTATGTCAGGTTGGTCATAGCTCGAGGGTCCATTGAACACATGTAGTCATTGTAGCCACATGTGTGTGCACGCTTTTACCTAAACAAAGTGAACAATCTCTAACGGTACAGTTAGAGGGGCGGCTAGTAAGGCGAGCCAGCACAGAGCCGTGCCCCTGGGTGCAGTGGTCCAGCAAACACAGGTCTTATTAGCAGTGGTGATTTTCTGGATAGAAGGTGATGGGGATGACTCATACAGTCTTCATGCTCAAGGGGTTTTCCAAGGTCTGATGTACATCCTGGGCAACAGCTCACTGGCCCGAGATGTGCCTTGGTGGGATCAGGTAAGCAGGGAAAGACGCGGATGGAGAGCATCTCCTGACGCTCGCAGGCGCCTGCATCTCATGAGTCCACGAAGAACCAGCGCTGTTGCAAAGATCAGCCACCCTCCTGCGTGGCCCTCAGCTCTGTGGGGTGAAGCTGACGCCTCACATCCTCCCTGCCCATCTCAGGGACTGGTGGGGGGAGGGGAAAGATGGGAGCAGCTCTGCCCCCAGGTTTGCCTACCTGGTACCCAGACATGTGCAGACACTGAGCTCACAGGTGACGACTCCTGTGTCCCTGAAGGTGCAGCCGGTCTGCCAGTGTTTGGTGAGTGGAAAAGTCTTATAATTATGAGTGGCACAGTGGGGATTTTCCTTCTAACCCTGCAGTGTTACAGTCTGTGCTTTGCGTGGTTCTGGGGGAGAGTAGCAAAAGCCAGGCTGTGAGAGACAATTCATAAAGCAACAGGGAGAACTATGTGACTTTTATGAAAGATAAAATAAAAATTAGGATGACTTTCAAAATTTTTTATCAAAACATTAACAACTGTGTTCTCTTTGGCAGCACATATACTCATTAAAAACTCTTACTGGTGATTATAAATGTATAAGGAATTAAAAAAATAGCAAAACTGATGTTTATTGGTTCACTGTAATTTAAAACATTAGAGACACTGAGAAATAGCCTTCCATTTAATTAACTTTTTTCAAGATTTAAAGGTCAACTTCTTTTGACCTTAATATATTAGAAAACCTAGCCTAATTGTGAGGACATAAGCAAGACCCCTAATATGCCTCTGGAATCCTGGCTCCTAGATGGTGTGCCTGAGAGAATGCTTGGAAATGTCACACGAAATGCCACCAAAGTGCTGCCTTCCTCACCTTCCTCATCTGGGGAGGCAGAGAGGATTGGCCTCCAGATCTAGAATGCAAAATGTGAACATAGAATCTAGGATGTATAATGTTGATCCATAACCTAGAACATATAGCTGGGTTCTGGCCATGTATCCTGGCCTCCAGATGTAGAATGCAAAATGTAAACATAGAATCTAGAATGTATAATGTTGATCTAGAATCTAGAACAAATACTGTCAACCCAGAATCTGGAATGTATGCTGTTGATCTCAAATCTAGAAGGTGCAGTGTTGACTTGGAATCTAGAATGTATAACTGGGGTCTGGCCACACATCGTCAAACATGAAACAGATCTGACAAGAACTCCTATCCTCATATAGGCAGACACAACGCAGAGAAAGAAATGAACTGAAACATCTATGCTTTGTTCTTTCCCCTGCTAAATTCTCCAAACAGGTAAGTCATCCTGTTAATGAAAATTTGTAATTCTATTTGAATAATTTTATTCCAGTTTTGATTGACATGTATTTGTTGTACTTATTAATGGGGCATGGCGTGATGTTTCCACACACGCATGAGGCATAGTTAGCATAATTAGCATTGCCTTCTTGTCATTTCTTCAGGTTTGGAGTCTTTGAGGTCCTCTTTTCTTGATCTTGTTACTTTATTGTTGAAGATTTTTTTTTTGGTACCAGGGATCAAACTCTGGACCTTGCGCTTTTGAGACAGGTGGCGGAACCACTGAGCTAAATTCCCAGCCCGATCTTGTTACTTTATAACTCTGATGGTGAACCTTTCAGAGACTGAGGGCCCAAACTGCAACCCAAACCCACTTATTTATCGCAAAGTGCCAACACTACAATTAAACCTGAATACTGAGGTTTTAGTTTAGAAAAAACAATCTTTTGTCCTAAAAGGAAAACATAATAACAGAGCTTTCAATGATACAAACAGCCCACGGTGGCATGTGTGCCGTAGGTTCACCACTATTCTCTATAAATTAGGTTATTGTGAACCTTTGTCAATCCACTATGCCTCAGAACACCAGAACTTATTCTGCTATGTAGCTACATTTCAGTATTGTTTTACTTCTTTGTAAAAAACAGATATTAAGAGGAAATAGAACAGTGCCTGTGTTCTCATAAAATGTACAGTCTGGACTAAGCCTCTTTTCTACAGTTTGGGGGATTGTCACATTTTTTCCTAAATCTAGGTCTCTTCTAACATTTTATCCTTTGCACTTTCGATGCCTTGAAATATCTCCAAGTTTCCTGTAACATAAAGTTTTTTCTTTCCTAGCATCTTTACCCTAAGTAGTCTGGCTATACACCTAGAATCTTTCAAAAGACAGAAGCATCGACAGTCCCACGGCCAACTACTTCTCCAACCTCATTTATATCTGATCCAACTTGCATTTCCAACATTGTCACTTTTTGTGTATTTTGCTACACTTTTATCTTTGTTGACAAAGCTCCTCTTTTGGGCAGCTATTTACATAAAATGTCTTGTGGCCTTATCACTGGGAGCCAGGCAGGTAGTACAACTATACCCTTGGCTGTCTGTGTCTTTACTTATACCAGAGGTGCTGTGGCCAGGCACTGATGAACTTTGAATGAAGTGATGTGGTTGGTCAACGGTCATGATGCACTTCTCTTATTTATACAATGATTTGTAGCATGAATATCAAGCAACAGAGTTTGCAATTTATGTAGTTGCTCACGATTAACCTACCTTAGTAACTGAAATTGGAACTATTTTGGGGAGGGGAGTGGGACTGTTATTTAACTTCAGTTACCACAGGGTAATGGAAATTCATGCATTTGGAAAATATGCAAGGTAAGGACCTCTGAATATTTCATATTGAGATGTGTGCCTGATAGACAGGGCATACATTATTAATTACTGAGGTTTTTCATTGTTTGTGACCTTGAATTATAGTTCTTGTTTATTTGAAGTTGTTCATGTGTGAATGGTTTTACTTCATTAAGAAATAGCATTCTCATCCTTCACTTTGAGTTCCTTATTCAGAAATACATGCATGCGGGAGATTTTCTGAGCTGACGCTTCCTATAGATGCTTTTCTGCAGCATCTGTGTTTCTAGATGGTGATTAGCTGTGAGGATCGAGCATTTGAGTTGAAGAAGTTGCTGGCCTCTTACGAGAACTGATGTGTTAATGTGCAGTATGAGTCTTCCTGAGGTAGATCATGTTCCCTGGATTCTGCATTACTCTCATTTTAAAAGTGTCTGTGTTAGTTAGTGTTTCATCACTATGTCAAAATAACTGAGGTAACCAGCCTATAAAGAGAAAAGGTTAATGATGGTTCACAGTTTTGGGAAGTTTCAACCTCTGGTCAGCTGGCTTCTTTGCTTTTGGGTCTGTGGCAAGGTAGTACATTGCAGTGGGAGCACATGGCAGAGAGAGCCACTCATCTCTTGATGTCCTAGAAGCAAAAGGAGAGAGAGGAAGTGACCAGGGTCCCACCATCCTGCCAAGGGCACAGACTCCACTGCCACCAGGCCCCGCCTCTTAAAAGCTCCACCGCCCTGATAGCACCATGGGCTGGGGACTAAGTCTCCCACACTTAGGCCTCTGGGGACACTTGTCCAGATCATGGCGATGTCACAAGGTTAATAATAATTTTGTTGGGAGTCCCTTAGCTGGCTAGGGCTGCCATCATGAACACTATGGAATGTGTAGTTTGAAATCACAGACATTATTGTCTCCCAGCTCTGGAGAGTAGAGGTCGAGGATCCAGGTGGGCAGGGCTGGTTTCTCCCAAAGCTTCTCTCCCAGCTTGCAGGTGGCACCTTTTGGGTGGGTTCCCACATGGGTTTCCTCTGTGTGTGGGCACCCTCCTCAGTGTCTCTCTTTGACTGAATTTCCTCTTCTTAGAAAATCTCTACTCAGCTTGAATTAGAGTCACCTGCATCACCTTGTTTAATTTAATTTAAACTCAGCCTCCAAATGCAGTCATGTTCGGATGTTCTGAGGATTACATCCCAAACACATAAATTTTGAGGGGGGGGACACAATCAGCCCATAACAGGCAGTAAGAAAACATGACACATTAATTTTAAGATGAATTCTGTTTTTAGAAATGTTGAAGAAAATCCAGGCATGGTGGTGCACACCTGTCATTCCAGCACTCTGGGAAGGCTGAAGAGGGAGGATCACAACTTTGAGCCTAGCCTGAGTAACTTATCAACTTTGTGAGACTCTATCTCCAGACAAAAAGAATCAAACAAAGAGCTGAGGATGTAGCTCAGAGCAAAGGCATTGAGTTCAATCTCAAAAACAGAAAAAAAAAGAAAGAAAGAAAAAAGAAAAATTAAAGGAAAAGTAAGGCATTTGTTAAAAGAAAAAAAGAAAAATTAAAGGAAAAGTAAGGCACTGTATTTATTAAATTTACCTAACTCTGCCTCTTTTTTCATACATCATCTCACTGAAGTGGCTGGGATTATTCTACGGATCATATTTAATACAAAACATTGAAGTGGGTGGTAGAGAGTAGGGAATAGCTCCAACATTTTTGTAAAATATAGATAAATATATATTATGGATTGTGTCTAGATGTACCCCCCAAAACCTCATCCAGTCCTATGTGGGGCTTTTTCAGAGGTGGCTAAATCTAGAGGGAGGTGATGTACTTAGAGTGTGTGACTGATTCATGGTGCAATGCTAGGATTAAGGGTGGGTGATTACTAAATCAGTCCACTGACTGGTTTGGCATTGCCCTAAGCCCAGAAGCCTGGATACAATATAAGGGACAAGAAGAGGTGCATCTTGTCCCTTGCTTACTTTGCTACCTTCTGCCCACCACAAACTATCCACCATGCCACTTTGCCTTGGAGCCAGATGATTATGACTGAAACTCTACAAACTGTGAGCAAAATAAATCTTTCCTCCCTTACCTTATGGCTGCTGGGTATTTTCTCACAGTAATAAGAAAATCAACTAAGACAATATATATACAAAAATAAGATTTTGTTTGGGGTTTCTAAGGTGTCTAAATATGTTTACTGAGCTTGAACCACAACAGTCAGAAGTTGGAACTCTTGGTGCTCAAATGTATGTTTAACAAGGGCTCCTTTGTTACTTGCAAAACAGTCCTCCCAGTGTGGGGAATGGGTCTGTCTTTCCCTGCTGTCCTTATTCCACAGTGCTCCTTGGTGGCTCCATCTACAACCACCAGTTAGGATCTTTAGTACCCACATGACCTAGTGTGTTAATCATCCTTCTGTCACTATAACAAAGTACCTGAGACAAACAATTCATAAGAAAAAAAGGGTTTTTTTGGCTTACAATTTCAGAGGTTTCAGTCCATGGTCACTTGACCACATCACTTTTGGGCCCACAGTGAGGCAGAACATCCTGGTGGGAGGGTGTAGTGGGGAGGCTGCTCATCTGATTTTGTTGGAGGCAAGGAGAGAGACAGGAAGGGGCCTGCACTCTGGTATCTCCTTCAAACACACCCCAATGACTTCACTTCCTTCCAATGGGCTCCACCTCCCAAAGGTTCCACCACCTCCCAATAGCTCCAGCAGCTGGTGCCTGAGCCCTTTGGTTCCAAGCTGTATGCACACTCTAGCTCTTGTCCTGTTTCCTGGGACTTAGCTCATCTCAGCACTGGCCTCAGCTCACTTTGCTCTGAGAGTGCCTCACCTCAACTTGAGCTGCCCTTGGTTTCCTATCGCAATCCTCCTAAACCCAGGAAGGGAGTGGAAGACCCCACTTGACATTCCTATATCCTGGATGGAGATGCCAAGGTGTCAGGGGTTGGGGCAGCAGCCAAGGGAATAAAGGCTTCTGCTGCATCTGTCAGGCAGGTGATTCTCAGGTGTATCCCAGAGGTTGCTCTGGGATCCCCGGATGATCGTTCTGTAGACATGGCTTGGTGGCCAGTGTGATCACAGTCACACCCTGTTTTCCTTCTTCTCTCCGTCTCGCTCCATGTTCTGCCTTCCCAAATAAACCACCTGCTCTGCTGTTGGCAAGTGGGGTCTCCTAATGAGCCATGTCTGAGTCCTGGGTCTTTGGCTACAGTACCTGGAAAGGAGACAGATGGGATGGGGTATTGTGGGGAAAGTAGAGAAAGTAAAGGACAAGTCTCGAGGAAAAGGGGCACCACTGCCCCAGGAGAGGGGAAGAATCCCGTGTGGAGCAAGATATGGGCATGGGAGGTGGTGAGATAATTTTCCACTATTCTTTAAAAGGGCTTGGGTAACAGTGGACACCAGACTCCCAGGAATTTGGTTTATGAAAGGGTGAGGCAGGAAATTTACCCACCATTTCCCCTGCTGGTACTGACTCATCCCTCCCTGTTCCATTCATCAGCACATACAAAGCAGCCACCTTTCCCACGTTCTTCATTCTTGTCTCACACTTCTACAGGAGGTCGCCACAATCTATCCTGGAGATGGGAAACCAAGGCTAAGGGATGAGCTGATCTGCCGGTGCCCTAACAGAGTCTCAAAGAGTTCGGGAGCATACTTTGGGCTCCCTGCCCACTGTGACTGGGCCCCACCTTTTACGGGAACCACTTAGGGAAGGTGGTTCGCTAGGTTCCTGGAAGGCAGAGGTTTGCTTCTGCATGCCTGGTGCTGGGGTGTTCCTAGGAGTGCAGGGGAAGGTTGCAGCAGGCGGATCTAAGAAGTGGAGGGGAGAGGGGCCTTGCAGCAGAGGCTTAGATCATGTTGCATCACTGCCACCATCTTCCCGTGATGGGACTTGTCCCCTGCAGTAGAAGAGCCTTCGACTCCATCTTCAAGCACCACAGGGCAGGACTGCGGTCATTTCTCTAGAGACACGAGTCAGGCTCATGCCCTGCTCCTCAAAGGAACACTGTTTGTAGTCAAATGCAAACAAAACAAAACAAAACAAACCCCAATGTTGACCTGTTGTTTGTTGTGCAAAAATAGGATTCTCAAGAGAATCTGTACCCACCTAGGAGTTCCAGTGAAACACAGACAAGAGTACATCTCCACTTAGTGTTTTTGTTTTTCTCTTAGGTTGGTTCTGGCTGACTTAGAGGCTGCCCGGCTGTCTACTGAGTGTAGGGGAGGTGATGTACTTAGCATTTGTTAATGGCACCTGCATACCTGACTTAGACCTGTGACAACCCTGTGAGGCCTGTACCTCAGTCACCCACTTTACCCATGAGTGAGCTGGTGCCTCGTAGTGCAGGGTGACCTGAGCATTGCTGGGCCAGGTGAACATGAAAACCAAACCAAGTAATCTGGGTCCAGTGGCATCAAGGGTCAAAGCCTGTGCTGTCTCCAGGGCACTGAGCCCCCCAGGCTGCTGAATGGGACGTAGGCCGGCTTCCTGTACAGTGGAGTCACCCTGCCACATTCACAGCCCCCAGCCTCAGGGACCCCAAATCAGGGCTTGCCATCGTTTACATGTATTTTTCTTATTTTTTTTTATTATAGATGTCAGGTTCTCCCCCTTTTGCTACAAGTTTCCTTGGATAACCTTAATTACCTGGAGGTGGTGGAACATGGAAGAGCTGAATCTTTCATTGATTCTCCAAGGCACGCTTTCTCAGGTTCTTACCACTCTGAGATCTCCATGCCCTGAACTCTGTCAGCCAGGCAGGTGTGTGCTAGCTGTCACTGACTTTGTGGGAATGTCAGAGAGTGGGTGTCACAGATTTGGAGGACAATCCCGAAGACAACTGTGGATGGAATACTTTTAAAAGAAACATGCTCCCCCCACCAACTTTCCCCAAATCTCTTGAGGGCTTCTAGGACAACAGTGTCCGGAAAGACCCAGATATAAAGATCCAGAGCCTAAGAGCAGGTCCACGGAGTCAGATGCTGAATGTGAAGTTTAGGGACCCCTTAACCCATGTATCTGTCTCTATTTCCCTTTCTGTGCAGGCTGAAGAGAAACGATTAAGCCTTTCATGGGAGGTCCAAACAAGCTCTTTGAATATGTTTAAAAGAAAAATTCTAAGAGATGAGGAAGCCTCATGATGTGTATATGTCCACATTTCTGCTTTCTTGTTCTTTCACTAAATAACAGCTGGTCTCACACAGTTAGAGCTTGAGAGTCCATGCAGTACAGTACGGCAGCCTTCCTGTCTGATGTCTCCACAGCCATCAATATGTTTCTCATGTATTTGTGGAAAAATATGCGAACCATCTTGCCATTAAACTATTTTTGAAATCTTGTGGAAGCCTGCCAGTATTTTTCCAAGTCAGCTACAACACTCTTGCCTGTGAGAGAAGTTCCCCTACTGTAAGACTATGTATTTGGATATAGTTTTTGTTGAAAACTTTTTTGTTAATCCTGGCCATTGATCTAGAGCAAAACTCAGTAAATAAAAAATGCATAAAATTCCAATGCTTGCTATATAAAATATGTAATCTGGGGAACAGAAAGTTATTGGTGCCTAGCTGGTTTGGCTATTTTGTTGTTGTTGATGGTTTTTGTGGAACTGGGGATTGAGTCTGGGGGTATTAAGCTATTTCCTTGGCCCTTTTTATGATTATTATTTTTTAAAACTTTGAGACAGGGCTTTGGTAAGTTTCCCAGGGTGGTTTTAAATTTGCAATCCTCCTGCCTCAGCCTCCTGAGTATCTGGGATTACAAGAGTGAACCACTGTGACTGGCTGGTTTGGCATTAATAAACACATTTTGCTTGCTTCTGTAGTGACTGACTTATGATTAGAATCCTGTGCGTCCCTTAGTTCTCTTGGTTTGTCCCATGGCTTTAACAATGAATATGTAGTATTCGAATATACAATACGTCTTTAACTTTATCATCGGTGCTGCAGGTGTATTTATTTATTCTATCTTTGCTTTTAGAAAAACACTATTATACCATAAAAATCTTTCAGCCTTAAATTCTTTCCCACAGGCTTTCATCCTCTGGCAGCTCATATCTGGGAATAAAGAGAAATCAATATCTTCTGGCCCAAAGGGCTGTGGACTTTGGAGTTTGTCACTTTTGCAGATAACAAATGGCCCGCATAAAAGAAGTCATCAGCTGCGGGGTGTGGGTGGGGAGCAGGGCCCGGATGCAGGGAGTTGGATCTCAAGAAAGCAGAATGCAGAGGCCCCTAATTTAGGAGCAACTGTGTTAAACCAAGCTCCCACCCAAGAGCTCCCTGATCTGGGATTTGGTGCCCCGTTGAGCAGTCAACCCCTCTCCCACTGCCCGTGCCCCCATCCCCCAAGGCAGAAGCCACGAGCTCCAGGCCCCTCCATGCCATCGCCGGGGTGGCCCAGGTTTCCTTCCACTTCCGCGCCCCTCCCTGTGTCCCGCAGCCCCCTGTCGGGAGCCGTAACCCTGGCTACTGCTGTTGGCTGTCGGGTTCTTTGGGCGGAGAAAGACATCCGTCTTTTGGGTTAGGTGGCTCCTTTACTTTATTTTTATTTTTTATTTATTTTTGGTTTCTTTCTTCGAGATGGGATCTCACAGTGTAGCCCTGGCTGGGCCTGAGCTCCCGGTGAGTGTCCCGAGTGCTGGGATTACAGGTGTAACCTGTGAATGGCACCCCATTATCCACAGCACAAGGTCCAAACTCCTAAAGCGGCTTCTCCAACCCTTTATCATCAGACTGGGCGTCTGAGGATCCTGTCTCCTCTCTTCCCTGGTCCGTTCTCCTTGTCGCTTCCCAGGCCACTGGATGTGGCTCATTTTCCCCAGTTGATGCCGGCTCTGCCAGCTCTGCCAGCTCTGCGCAGGGACTAGTGTGGGTCGCAGAAGAGTCGGTCCACGCCAGGTCAGAGCAGGTACGCCGCCCGGGCCGCACCGCAGTGGGCGGCAGCTGCCTGTCCTGCGGGAAGAGCAGGAACGTGGAAGCTTCGGAACAGACGGCCGGGCTGTCCGAGCCCGCCCGGGGCTGTGAGGTCATCTGGAACAGGTCTGGGTGGATGTCCACGAACCCGACTTGGTTTCTGAAAATAACACAGGATCCCACGAGACTGCAGGGCATAGTAAGGTCATCGCGGGGCAGGACTGGTAAGGACACACCTGGTCCACTCGCGCAGACACGGGGCCGTGTGAGCTCACGCGAGCGCATTGTCAGGGTTAACAGGTGTGAAATCGGGATTATTCGCAAGGCTTCTCGTCGTGTGGCTTGGCCGAGTTCGCTCCCGCCTCCTTCGCTCGCAGGTGCCTCCTTCTCAGCAGGTCCAACACGGGCCCCACCTGTTTGGCTTCTTGGCTTCGGAGGCCCCGGAAGCCACCAGTTCCGAGCCGAGCAGATCGGAATCAGCAGGTGGCTTTCCGGGTCACTGTGGAAGCAGAGGCCTGGGCAGCCCTGGCCTGGGCGGCAGAGTCAGGGCCATCGGCCGGCGCTAGGCGCGGACGCACAGGGCCTCCGGGACATGTTGCCGAAGCCGAGACGGCTGCGCAGGGCTGGTGCGGGTGCTGGGTGGGACGAGGGATCCCAGGCCGGAGGATGCCCGGTCCCTCCTGGTGCGCGTGTGCGTGCGTGTGTGCGTGTACTGCGTGCGCGCGCGCTGCCTGAGGGAAGCCTCATGGTCGCTCAGCACGCGCGGTTGTTTGCTCCGCCTTCTGCGGGTTTCCGCTCACAGCTCCACCGTAAGCTCCGCTGCCCACGGCGCTCACCTGAGCCGGGCCCTCTGATACCATCTCATTGCACCGCAGTGCCCTGCGACGAGGCAGCTCAGGCGCTGTCTGCCCCATTCCTCTCCCCGGGGTCGGGGACATCAGTTGCTTCCCTGAGTAGCAGAGGAAGGAGACTGAGAGCAATTTAGAGACCTTTCCTTGGCACTGTGCAAGATACAGCCTCAGAAATTCTGGAAAGCTGGCTTCAGCCTGAGCAGTGCAGCCCTGCCTTGTTATTTCCTGCAGAATTCTTCTCCAGCTCAGCCCTCCCCGAGATGGAGTCCGTCTAGTAAGAGCTTGGCTAAGCGCGCACCCCTCCTTTATCCACCTGCCTGTTGCGGGGGGTGGGGTGGGGGTTCTGATACGGAGGCGGAGGGGCTGTGCCCAGCTGCTTTTCACTGCAGGGAGAGTATTTATTGAAGTCCTGGGGACAGCTGGGAGAATCTGACAAGAAGTAAGGCACAAACATTCTTTATCTGCAGGATAGATTAGCTTCTGTTTGGGCCTGCAGTTTTTTGAAAGAAGGAAATCATTTTCATAAGCGTCAGATTAGATCTAGGAAGTACGCAGGTCAATGTGTTTGTTGACAAAAAGCTCAGCATTAGGATTTTGTCATTGGTTGTTTCTGCCACCTGCTGGAGAAATTTGTGAATTACACTGCATGGGTAAACTATTAAATGTAACAAGTTTTCTGGGATGCAAGAGGGAAAAACCGATTTCTTATTTTAGAGTATTTATTGCTGTATTTCATATTAATCACGATAAGGGAAGAGGCAGAAGAATGAGCAACGAAACCACAGCGGGCTTTTCTCCTCTGGGGCACTCAGGAGAGGAATTTGTCAGGACAGTGCATTATACTCTGAGAGTTGGTTTTCTCCGAAGTAACCCTTGCGTGGAGTTTGAGTTTCCAAGACCCACTCTGCAAATTTATGCAAAACCTACCAATTCCTTTGAACAAATGTAGTGCAAAAGAAATTAAAAAGTGAAAATTGCAATATTAAATGATAGCGTCTAAGGCATATCTTCAATTTAGGCAGTGAAACTGTCAGGTTTGGGGTCCACGAAGCTTGTTAGCTTCACATCTAAGCCCTGGTCCTCTAGAAATGTGAGTTCTGTGTTAAGTAAGGGGTTTTTGCAGCCTACATCCATTCCACTCACCTTGGTAGACATAAAATAGGCTTTTTTAGTAATTTAATACTAAAAGTACTGAGGTCCGTAAGAGGATGATTTTGGCCCAGATAGAGGACACTGATAAAGATTCCCACAATGATTTCTCCTCTTCTTCCTTTTACAGAAACCCCAGATTCCAGGGGGCTCCAGAGCCATGGTCCGCCTGAGCCCCTGACGTTACCAAGGGCTTGAACATGCGGGGAGCTTATTACTAGAGAAAAGCTGCCTGGCCAGTGTGGGGACGAGACTGCAGGTACAGAAAGGAAGGGAGGAGAGAAGGAAAGGAAAGGAAGGAGGGGAGGAAGGAGCAGGCAGGCAGGCTGGAGGCTTTTTGGACTGCAGAGCAGTTCTAAGGGAAGCTTGGCCAGGCCGCCTGGGATCCCTGTGACAGGCAGATTCCAGGATGACCTGCAGTGACCTCTGCTTCCGCATAGCCATGCCTGTAAGTGGCAGGCTTCAAATGGGTGGCGTGTGGCGGAAGTGATGTGTGTCCCTTCCACTAGTCACCTTCTGGCTCTCTCTTGCCAACGTTGCCCATCAGAGAAGTTTTGTGAATCCCAGAGACAAGCTTGGCTCGGTGACCCTAGAGAGCTTGGTCATTAGCTGGGAGCAGCCCATGGAAAGTGTGGCCTCACTGCAGATGTGCAAATATATATATATATATATGGAGTCTTGCGCTGCCACCCGGCTGGAGCACAGTGGCTGTTCACAGGCGTGATCCTACCGCTGATCAGCACATGCAATCCAGTGGTCTCTACTCCTAGGAGGTCCCCATACTGATGACAACACTTAGTGCAGACACCACATCAGCATAGTGCATGATGGCCCCAAACTCCTGGGCTCAAGTCCTCCTCCTGCTTCAGCTCCATGGGAGCTGGGACTACAGGCATGTGCACCTGTGATGGATTTCAGAGCATCAGTGGGGCTCTTGGGTAATTATACCCTGCAGTCAGAGATCCAAGGGACAGAATCTCAGGACCTCCCCAGAGCCCAGAGCAGAGGTCACATTTTCCATGCCTCCTGGAGGCTTGATGCTCTCTTGTTGGAACTTGTTTCTATGGAGCAGGCGTCATGTTGGGAAGTTCCATGTGACAAGTGACCTCCAGGCAACAGCCAGGAAGACTTGAGGCCATCAGATGTCTGAGGTGGCTTTCTGCACAATGTGGTACATGTGTAAGCCATATGTACTGCTCCAGGAAGGGTTCCTAAAAGAAGGGGGTTATTGCTTTGTTTTAGTCAGTTTTCTGTTCCTGTGACAAAATATCTGAGGAATACAATCTATAGGTTTCTCATCACTGGGACTCCATAAACCACAACAGAGAGGAAGAGAGGTCTATTTCGGCTCACAGTTTTAGTCCATGGATGGCCAGCTCCAAGGCAGGAAGGCATGGTGGAAGGGCCTGGGTGGAGCAAAGCTCACATTATGGCGGTCAGGAAGCAGAGAGTGAAAGAGGAAGTGGGGGAGGGAGATAAAACCTTCCAGGCCACATCCCCAGTGACACCCCCCTTCCCACCAGGCCCTGCCTCCCAACAGCACATTTAGCTCTAATGCCCCCCTCAACCCATTCAGTCAGCTTTCAAAGGTCCTGCCTTTGAGAGTGTGAGCCTTCTGGGGAACACATAGTGATGAAATGTCACATTTTGGATCACGGCTTCAGAGGTTTCAGTCCATGGTCTGTGGCTCCATTGCATGTGGCCTGTGGTGAGGCAAAACACCATGGCAGGAGCACTTGGTGCAGCTGAGCTGCTCGACTCTTGGTGGCCGGGGGCAGAAGCAGAAAAGGACAGGGAGAGGCACTATGCCCTTCAAGGGCCTGGCCCAAGGACCTGC